GTGGAGGAGTGGCCATCGCTGCAAGACGGAACATCAGTTGCCGGCTGCTACCAAACTTCCAGCTGAAAACAATTGAAGGCATCGGAGTGGAGGTGAGCACATCACTTGGCCCAATCACCATCATCGCGGCCTACTGCCCCAAGCAAACCAACATCAGGGACGGATCGTCAGTGGCCCACCGGAAAGACATCATCAAACTCACCCGGAGGAGCGGGAACTTTATCATCGCTGGCGATCTGAACGCAAAACACCAAGCTTGGGGCAACGGTCAGAGCAATAGAAACGGCATCATCCTCAATGAAGACCTGCAAGAGGGCCACTATAACATCTTGGCCCCGGACTCTCCCACCCGGTTGAGTCGGTCTGGGGTCCATGCGACCATCGACATCTTCGTAAGCAACATGGGACACAACATCTCGCAACCTGTGGCATTCCAGGAGCTGAGCTCGGACCACTACCCGGTGGTGGCCGAAATTGGATCCTCGGTAAACCGATTCGAAGCTTCCCGGCGCCACTACCATCGAGTTAACTGGGCGCAATATCAACACTGCGTCGACACAACCATCGACTACGATGTCCAACCGGGGACGTCCGAAGATGTTGACCGGTGCCTACAAACCATCAAGGAGGCGATTTCCCGGGCCAGGGAACAACACGTGCCAGTATCCAGACAGGTGAGTAACACTCTGAACCTTGACAGCCCTACCAAAGATCTCATAAGACTCCGTAACACCATTCGTAGGCAGTACCAGCGTACTGGCCTGCCTAACTTGAAGACCAATTGTAATCGATTAACAAAGATCATTCAGGCCAGGATGGTGTATCTCAGAAATAACGATTTTGCTAGTAAGATTCACTCTCTCCCAGATTGTGCTAAGCCCTTCTGGAAACATACAAAAATTCTTAAAAACAAGCCTAGGCCCATTCCACCACTAACCCCATTGGATCGTCCCGGCGGCCCAGTGGTTCATCTAATAACTCCTGAAGAGAAGGCTGCCGCGATAGGTCAACACTTCGTCAGCTCCCATAATCTCGGACAAAACATCGTCAGCCCTCATGAATCTGAGGTTGCTGAAAATGCAACTAATGTTCTTCAGATTCCTAACATTTTTCCAGAGAAATCCGAGATTACGGCTGACGAACTGTTGGCCTATATAAAATCATATAAAAACATGAAGGCCCCAGGTTTCGACAACATCCTGAATCTGGAACTCAAACACTTGAGTTCCAGATTCTACAACCATCAATCAGTGCCTCAGACTTGGCTACTTCCCCTCGTGTTGGAAGTCAGCTAAAGTCATACCCATCCGGAAACCTGGAAAGGATCCGTCCTCTCCTTCAAGTTATCGACCAATCAGCCTTCTCTCAGGTTACAAAAACTGTTCGAAAGAGCAGTGTACCACCGGCTCCTAACATCTGACGATGAAAACAACTTGTTACTCGAGGAACAGTTTGGTTTTCGGAAAGGTCGTTCGACCGTCTACCAGCTGACTCGAGTAACAAACATTCTCAGACGGAACAAGTCTGTTTCGAAAACATCTGCCATGGCGTTGTTGGACGTTGAAAAAGCGTTCGACAATGTCTGGCATGATGGCCTGGTGTTCAAATTGCAGCAGTACGGTCTTCCAATCTTCCTAGTGAAGATGATAAACAACTATCTATCAGACAGGACGTTCCGAGTCTCTCTGAATGGCATCACATCGGATGCTTTCAACATCGGTGCCGGGGTTCCACAAGGAAGCATCCTTGGCCCCATCCTATTCAACCTGTTCACCTCCGATATGCCGGCTCTCCCTGATGGTGGATCGTTGTCTCTGTTCGCAGATGACACATCCATCGTCTACAAGGGTAGGGTCATCGGAGCTCTGACTGCCAAACTTCAGAGAGGCCGAGACGTCCTGTCTGAATACTTCAACAGCTGAAAGATCCGTATCAACGCGGAAAAGACCCAGGTCATTATCTTTCCACACTCTAAATCTCCCAGAGTTGTTCCGTCGGAGAATAACAAGATCTGCCTGAACGGAACAGTGGTGGAATGGTCCAAAGAGGTCATGTACCTCGGGCTCACACTAGACAGCAAGCTTCTTTTCAGGGAGCACGTTGACAAAACGAAAACCAAGTGCAACATCTTGATAAGATCGTTGTAACCACTTATCAACAGGAAGTTAACCCTGTCCCTGAAAAATAAGCTTGCTGTCTACAAACAAATCATCCTTCCTGTAATCGAGTACGGTACGTCAATCTAGGAGAGTTGCGCAAAATTCCATCACCTTAAACTCCAAATGATCCAGAACAAGATCCTTAGGATGGTCCGCGGGCGACGATCGGCCTCCTGCTAGAGGATAACCAGCTGAATCTAATCAAGGACTGCAAAACGGTGAAAATGACCTGGGAAAAGCTACGGGGACATTACGAGAAGGCAACACTGACGTCCAAAGTGTCGATTCTCAAACGAATCTGCGAGAAGCGCTATTCCGACGGAGAAGACATCGAGCAGCAGATTTTTGAAATGGAGAGTCTGTTCGACTCTGACCACGACGTTGGAAAGCAGGTCCGACGACGAGTTAACGCTGGATCTGGTCAAATCCAAGGGGGTCGACGAGGTGGCAAAACGTTGCTCGAGCGGCGGACTGGACTCGGTGCTCAAGACCCACGTGAAGCGGAAGCAACTTTTGTGTCATTTTTGCCAACAACCGGGGCACAAGCAGAAAGATTGTCCATCTCTTGCCGAGAAGCGGACAAGCGAACGGAAATCATCAGATGGCCAGCGTGATAAGCGAAACCAACCACGGGTGCGAGCAACTCGCGAAGAAACCCCGAAGAAGGAGTATTCGTTCGCGACAAGAGGAACTGCAACGGTATCAAATTCATGGATCGTTGATTCCGGCGCAACGTCGCACATGTGTGTGGATCGGGCAATTTTTATTGAGCTGAATGAGAGTCATAAGCAGGACGTGATTTTGGCCGATGGTACTGCGACGAAGGCGGAAGGCATCGGTTCATGGCAGGTAAATATACTGTCTCCGGAGGGTGAGCCATCAATAGTAACCCTCAAGGAGGTGCTGCTGGTACCGTATTTCGAATCGAGTTTGTTTTCCGTGAAGAAGTTGACGCGAAGTGATTGCGGCAGCAACGATTTCTGGGGGACTGTACTCCCTGAAGGTACCCCAGTAAGCACTGGCCGTGAAGCACCATACCTCAAACTGTCAGCACACTTGGCACCGTGTGTTGGGGCATCGTGACCATGAAGCCGTCCGTGAGCTGGTGACCAAGGGTATGGCAACTGGAATCGAGATGGAAGAGTGCGGCTGCCGAGTCGTCTGTGAATGCTGTCTTGAGGGCAAGCTGACACGTCTTCCGTTCCCCAAGAAGTCGAAACCAAAGTCCAAGCAACCATTGGACCTTATTCACACCCATGTGTGTGGACCCATGCAAACCGTGACACCCGATGAGGGTGTCGTTATTTTCTCACCATGATTGACGACTTCACCCAGCTTACCGTCGTATATTTCTGGAAGCAGAAGTCCGAGGTTTCCCAGCGTATTCAAGAGTACGTCAAGTTCGCCCAGACGGAATTTGAAAAAAACCCCGAAGATCATCCGTTCCGACCAGGGAGATGAATTTCGGAGTAACGTGTTGGATGCGTTCTGCCGAGCGCAGGGGATACGTCAGCAATTTACCACTGCCTACACTCCGCAGCAGAACGGGGTTGCGGAGTGGACGAACCGCTCACTGGTGGAAATGGCGCGCTGCATGCTACTGGACTCCCGCATGCCGTTGAAATACTGCGCGGAAGCGGTTAACACTGCAAACCATCTACAAAACCGTTTGCCGACGAAGCCGTTGAAGAAAACGCCGTACAAGCTGTGGTATGGCACGAAGCCGGACATGAGCCACCTCCAGATGTTCGGTTCACCGGCGTACGTGTGGATCCCTGGAGAGAAGATAAACAAATTAGAAGCGAAATCTCGGAAGTTGCTGCTCGTTGGTTATTTCTCCCAACACATTCATGAACCCGAATAACGACAAGCTGACCGTCAGTCGGGACTGCAGGTTCCTGCCATTGAACGAGGTTGGGAAGAATCGTTGATTATCCATTTAGACTCCTAGAGCATCCGAAAGCTGAGGTCCCCGTTATTCCAGCAAAAGTGGACGAGAGCGAGGACGAATCGGATGAGTCCGATCTACTCGGGTTTGAGACCAGCTACGACGATGCCAATGAGTAGACGTTTGTGGAAACAGAAGCGCAGGAGGAGCTTGAGACATCCGACTATCAGGAGGAGCATGACGTCGTCGGCGAAGTTGATGTACCAGTAGTCCGACGATCGGAGCGTACCACAAAGGGCATCCTGCCAGAACGGTACCTAGACACCGTGCGACTAGCAGCGCAATATATCGACGAGCCACGCACATTCGAAGAAGCAATGGCTAGCCCCGAGCGCAACATGTGGGAGGCAGCCATGGAGGAAGAGATGTAGGCGCATGAAGAGAAATCCACATGGGATGTCGTCCGTTTGCCGCTAAACAAGAAGGCTATTGGCAGCAAATGGGTATTCACGCAGAAGATGGACGAGGGTGGAAACCTGATCCGCTATAAGGCCAGGTTGGTAGCGCAAGGATTCAATCAAAAATACGGAACCGACTACCATGAGGTCTTTGCGCCAGTCGCCAAGCAAACCACTTTTTGGACCCTGCTGAGTGTCGCCGCCAGACGAGGAATGCTGGTGAAGCACGTCGACGTGAAGACGGCGTTCCTACATGGAGAGCTGGAAGAGACCATTTTCATGAAGCAGCCGGTAGGATTCCATAACGGGGTCAAGGACAACGTACTGCATCTAAGAAAAAGTCTCTACGGTCTGAAGCAGGCTGGAAGGGTGTGGAATGAATAAATCACCAAAGTCTTGAAGCATCTGGGCTACGTGCCATCTGAAGCAGACCCATGCCTGTTCGTAAAAACCTGGAAGAAGAAGAAGACGTTCATATTACTATATGTGGAAGACATGCTGATTGTCACTATCAGACAATCAAAAGCGAAGCGCTCGCCGATACCGATGGACTCCGGGTACCCGAATGTACAGCAGAAGGAGGAGCAGCCCATGCCCAGAAACGACGAGTTCCAGAGCCTGGTGGGTGCTCTTTTATACATCGCGGTCAACACGAGACCGGACATCGCCATAAGCGCCTCAATTCTGGGCCGCAAGGTGAGTCGACCAACGGAAGCAGACTGGACCGAAGCAAAACGGACGCTCCGGAATCTCCAGTCAACAGTGGATTGGAGCCTACGTCTGGGTTCATCCGGACCGCTGGAAGCATACGTCGATGCAGACTGGGCTGGTGACAAGACAGACCGGAAATCAAACACCGGTTTCGTCTTCTGTCTTGGAGGACCAATCAGTTGGGCAGCCCGAAAACAACCATGCGTAACTCTTTCGTCTACCGAAGCGGAGTACGAGGCGCTTTCCGAAGCCAACCGCGAGCTGATGTGGCTGATGAAGCTACTGAAGGACGTCGGAGAACCAATTCTGGCTCCTGTAGTTGTACACGAAGACAACCAAAGCTGTATTGCGATGCTGAAATCTGCCGGCGGTAACAACCGAACAAAGCACATCGACACTCGCTATAATTTTGTGAAGGAGTTTGTTGGGCGGTAAAAACGAATCTTTTGAATCCGTGAATTTTATTCCGGCAGATTGATCGAAATGGAAAAAAAATTACAAATTCCTGAGAACATTGGACAATGTTATGTTTCGTGCACAAATATAAATATTGCATTACACTTACTTTTGGTGATTCGTTCCGCAGTAATTAGTTTGCATAGAGCAAGATATTATGGTTATAAGTTAAGGTTTTCTTCAGCTGTAGGTAGCTATTAGATGTATATATAGATATGTTTAGTTATAAGTTCACTAATTTTCCAGCTAGTTCTCACCTTAGATAAGTTCAAAGTATTATAAGTTAATCAAGATACTGTAGTCTAGTTCAATCGACACGTTAGATAGTGATAGTATTTAAGTTTAACAGTATAAATTAGGTAGATTAAGGTAACACCACTTGCGAGTAGAATTAATTTTACTTTTTACTTCCTCGATTCAGCTATTGTTCTGGCTTGTTTACACATTTTACCCGTCGACCGCTTGACTTTCATACGATCGACGATCCTCTGACCAACACACGGGTGTGGTCGCGTTGAGGTGTATGCGTCCGTCACAGTGGTAGCGGTGGGGCTGCTGGGGCTCGTCGGGCCATTGGACGTGGCGGGATTAACACTCCCTCCCGGAATGCGCCGATGGTCGTCCTGAGGCGTATCCTTGCAGACGCCTACGTCTAGCACGGCGAGCTTCACGGCTGGACGCTCATAGATACCACTAATGGTCCGGACGGTTGCGCACCTCACTTGGCCGTCGGCTCCTGGCTTCGTTGCTATTACGCGTCCCTTTAACCAGCAGTTTCGCTGAAAGTTCGGGTCCACGATGACGACGATGTCGTCGGTTTCGATGGGTTTCACTGGGCCAAACCATTTGGTTCGGCGAGTGATCGACGGCAGATAATCTCGAACCCATTGTCTCCAGAACTGGTTGGCCAAGGTCTGAGAGCGTTGCCAACAGTTCCTGAGTACCGCAGGACTGTCGTCGAAAGGTAGCCACGGCTTCAAACCGTTCGACGATCCCAGCAAGAAGTGGTTCGGTGTGAGCACCGGGGATTCGTCGTCTTCCAATGGAATGCTGGTCAGCGGTCGTGAGTTAACCACGTTTTCGACTTCTATGAGCAGGTTTTCAAGGACTTCGTACGATAGCGTGCTGGCTGGCAGGATCTTCCCGAGGTTCTGTTTGACTGTACGGATAAGACGTTCCCACGCTCCACCCATGTGCGGGGAGGCTGGTGGATTGAAACTCCAGCTGGTGTGAGGAGTCGTGAACTCGATCATCAAGCGTTCCTGATCCAAACTCTCCATAGCGGCCTTCAGCTCCTTACTAGCGCCTCGAAAGTTAGTTCCTTGGTCACTATAGATGACCGCCGGTGTACCCCTCCTACCTATGACGTTGCGTAGAGCCATGATGCAGGAATCGGTATTTAGAGTGTGTGCAATTTGCAGGTGTATGGCGCGGATGGTCAGGCAGGTAGCTATCAACACCCAGCGTTTCTCTGTTTTACGGTTGGCGGATACCATGATCGGCCCGAAATAATCCACCCCCATATGCGTGAACGGACGAGAGTACGCAGCCAGACGTGATAGCGGCAGATCACTCATGGTCGGCGGTAGTGGAGTTGCCCTTTCGTTCATGCATTTTTGGCATTGCTTCCGGATCGTGTAGTATACGGACTTGAGGTGAGGAATCCTGTATCGCTGGCGAATCTCGTTGAGGACTGTGTTGTGGTTTTGGTGGTGATATTTGCTGTGGTAGTGAGAGACTATCAGCCGTGTGACATGGTGGTTACGAGGAAGAATGACAGGGTTGACTGCATCGTAGTCGATCAACGGGCAGGCAGCGGTACGGCCACGGACTCTCAGCACGTCGTATTCATCGAGAAACGGACGGAAGTAGGCAATAGAGCTGCACTTTGGAATCGACTTCTTCTCCGATCCAATTCGGCGATTACTGACGAGGATCGCAAGCTCGTCGACGTATTCGCAACTCTGGGCAAGGCGATAGAGAAAGTTCTCGGCCCTGTATAATTCCTGTTGCGTCAACGGTCCACCGGTTCGCTGTTTCGTCTTGACCATCTGCTTTGAGTTGCATATGTACCGGAACACGTACGCTGTACTCCGTAGTATCGTTGTCCACTTGGAGAAGTTTTGTGCTTCAACAATTGATTCGGCCGTGGAGACGTGCGTTAATAAGTGCGCACGCAGTTCCACATCCGTCATTCCACATCGCAGGCCAGAAGTTCCACATCCGTCATTCCACATCGCAGGCCAGACGGCCATTCTGCTTTAGACTGCCTCAGGAATTCCGGTCCTTGAAACCAGCGGCTGGAGGCGGTGAGATCAGGATGGCGGGTCCATTTGGTTCCTTCGTCGGCCACGTTCAGCTTCGTGGGAACCCATCGCCACTCCTTCACATCAGTCGTTTCCAGTATCTCGCTCACCCGAAATGCTACGAACTGGCTGTATCTTCTGTGATCAGAGTTCAGCCAGCATAGAACGTCTCTGGAGTCTGTCCAGAAAAAGCGTTCTGACACCCTAACGGATAGTGACTGGGCGACGCTTTTCGCTAAGCGAACTCCGAGGACACTGGCTTGAAGCTCGGAGCGGGGTATGGAAAGGAATTTCAACGGGGCAACTCTCGTTTTTGCACTCACGAACGCGGTTTCAATTGCGTCTCCTTCTTCAAACCTGAGATACACTACCGCTGCGAAGCCGTTCTCACTTGCGTCAACGAACGTGTGCATTTGAACTTTGCAGTTGCTTCCTAGTGACACAGACGCTCTATAACACCGTGGAATCTGGACGTTGGTTACCTCCGGCAGAACCTTCAACCATGTCAGCCACTTCTGGAACTGTGGTTCTTCAATGGGGGTGTCCCAATCAACCGAGGATCTCCAAATCTCCTGCAGCAGTACTTTCAGGTACATGAGAAAGTGCGTAATGAAGCCAAGCGGGTCGAACATCATCATAAGCGTTCGAAGCACCTCACGTTTAGTTGGTCGACGGTCCCCGGACAGCAGGTCCTGGTCGTACCTTGGAGACACCTTGAAAGTGAAACAGTCCGTAGTCGTATTCCACCAAAGGCCTAACACCTTTTCGGTGACGTTTCCTTCTTCTCCAGCACTACGCCAGTACGGTCGATGAATTGGACAGCCAATTTCGCATTTCGAAACCTCCTGCGGCATGGATGCGTTTCACGTCCTGTGCCAGCTTTACAGCTTCTTCCTCCGTTTCGACGCTGGCAAGCATGTCGTCAACATAATGCTTCCTCACAATGGCATCGACGGCTTGCGGGCACTCGTGTTCGAATCGTTTCGCATTGATATTTTTAACATACTGGGCTGTCGTAGGCGAACAGCAGGCGCCAAATGTCATCACTTTCATAACATACACATCCGGCGCACCATCCTCCGCATCTTCCTTCCAGTAGAATCGCAGGCAATGCTGGTCTTCCTCCCTCATCAACACCTGGTGGAACATTTCTCGTAGGTCCCCGCATACCGCGACTCGAAACTCCCGGAACTGAATCAAGACTAACAGTAGAGACATCAATTGATCGGGTCCTTTCAGTAAAACCGAGTTCAAGGAGATTCCTTGGACGGTAGCTGCTGCATCCCAAACCAACCTCAATTTTCCTGGCTTGTTGGGATTATAGACCGGAAACACTGGCAGATACCACTCACGCGGTTGACGATGCCTCAGTTCATCTCCGCTCAGTTTCCGGACATACCCTTTCTGGACGTACTCGGCCATTTTTGCACGTAGTGCCTCCGCCAATCCTTCGTCCTTCTTCATCCGCCGCTCTAAACACTCCCATCTCCTGAGAGCCATAGCTTTACTATCGGGAAGCCGCACTGCGTCATACTTCCAAAGAAGGCCTGATTCATAGCGGCCGTCCTTGGGTAGTGTCACCACTTCCAGAATGTCCATAGCACGCTGGTCGTCTACGGAGAGCGGTAACTTGTCAGGCTTAGAGATGCCCATGCTATCGAGAGTGAAGTAGTTTTTCATTGCTGCATGGAGACTTTCGTCAGAACCTTCGTTGCACTCGCACGCTTGTACAGCGTGGTAGTTTACATGATTTCCGAGATGATTGGACGAACAGCTCCCGTACACGATCCATCCTAGACGGGTTTTGACGGCAATCGGTTCGGATGGTTTTCCTTCGCGACTCTTGAACGCATGCCCAAGTTGCGCGTTATCCAGTCCAATCAGGATTCGCGGACTTACTTCAGTGTAGGAATCGAAGGGGATTCCAGTGAGATGATTATACTGACTCTGCATTTCCGAAGCTATCAGGGTTTGTGGCCGGAGTTTCAGCTCATGTATAGTCCGAACATCCGCCAGTTTGTACTTTTGGGATGTATTTCTCACAGAAGAGATGACCACCTCTACCTTTTGAGATTCGTTCTCCATTCTTCTGCTACCACCTGTCCATTTCAAACAGAGTGCTTTGTTTGGTCCTTGTAACCCAAGCTCCTGTGCAAGAGAATGCTCCATGAGGGTTAGCTCGGACCCATCATCGATGAAAGCGTACGTCTGAATCATCTTCGACGGACCGTGGAGCACAACTGGAACAATCCGGAATAGCACGTCGTTTGTCTGCGCTTGATGAACGTTACAACTGGTGTTCGTAGCAGCTTCCACCCGGGAGCCGTTTCTGGAGGCTTCGGTTCTCTCGGAGTGAAGCAAAGGGTGGTGCAGGTAGGTACATTCTCTAACTCCACATTTGCTTTGCTGTCTGCAGGTGCCGTTGTGTTTGCGAAGACACTTACGGCACAGCTTTGCTTCCCGTATTACTGCCCACTTCGACTCGTAGCTCAGCTCGACGAACCTTTTGCACTTAGCAAGTGACGGACAAGAACCTTTGCATACAAGGCATTCCTTTGGAGAATCTCTCGATTGGGTACGCGTATCTTTAGCTGGAGCTGCAGAGAATCCGGATCGATCGTTGCTAGTTTCGGTGTGGACGTTGATGAATCCATCTTTCTTGTTGACTCGACTTCGTGGAGCGTTGATGGACGTCTGCATGACTGCGCTTGCATCCTCCGCCATGGAGTATAACCAGGTACTGAAGTCCGCGAGATTTGTGGCCGGATTGCCTCTAGTGTATTTCGCCCAGTCCAGCTTCAGCATCGACGGTAATCGATCTACCAACTCGAGCTTGAGTGAGGCGTTGTACACGAAGTCCTGTATCCCACAGGCTTCTATCGTTGCTACTAAATTTTCGACAGTGAGCGCAAAGTTGACCAGACTCTCTAGACGATCGATCTCCGGGGGTGGTACTGAACGAATTTTCCTTATCGCTGCTTGAACGATCGCTTCTGGCCTGCCGTAGAGCATCTTCAGTGTTGTAAGGACACCATACACGTTGGAAGGATGTAGCAACCGACATCTTACAGCATCCAGTGCCTTTCCTTTTAGGCACTTACGTAGACGAAGCATGTTCTCTTCATTGGAAAAGCCACACATCTGTGTTGATGAGGTGTACATCGAGAAGAAAAGTGGCCAGTCCTCGGGGTTTCCATAGAATTCAGGCAAGTCCTTAGATACTGCTTGTCTGGCGGCCATCTGGCTTCGGTTGAGGATACATATGGTCTCCTCGACAGGAATTGGTTCAGGTTCCATTGCCGTGAGCGTTGGACCGGTCACTGATGGTCGAGGAGGAAACTGCGGTCTTAACATGGATGCCGGGAACGTAGAGTAACGCTGAGAGGTAGGATCCGTTGGACGAAGCCGCGTCTGTGGCGTAGAACGTTGTTCGGGAGCGAAATCTGGTATGGTGTTACGCCGCCCTCCTTGCGAACGATGTTGCTGTCCTACTTGTCGTTGGTCGACCACTACTGACTGATCGGCGAGTCCAGGTGGAAACCTCGGTTCTTCCGAAAGATTCTCTTCTTCGACTCCAGAGTCTTGAACTACTCCGCCGCGTTCCGTATCTTTGATCCATTGCGAAACTGTAGACATTTTCTCGAGATCCTCGTTGTCCAAATCCGTCTCACTGTCATCTTCCACCTCTTCCAAAATTCTGTACTTTTCTTCCAGGAACTTTTGTTCCAGCTTCCTCTGCTCCTCGAGTTTCTGCAGCTTCAAGTCAATTTTCCGCTGTTCACTCCGTTTGCTGCTTTTCTTTCCGCTTGATTTCGCATCGCCAGAGTCCTTTGGGGTTGGATTAGCAGCCTGCACTACTGCTTGGACGTCTTTCGCTGGGGTTGATTGTTGGACTTCGCTCTGCCCTACTGGACACACTGGGCAGTTCCAACTAACTTCAGCTATTCCTTCAGTAACTTCCACGCAGCAGAAGTGGAACCATCTCTCGCAACCATCACACTGCACCATTCTACTATTATCACTTTCTGCACACAACTCACAGCTATTGAACCGATATGCCCGCGCATGACGTACCGGATTGCGTCTGACAACGTCCTTTCCGTGTAGATTGGAAAGGACAGATTTAACTTTAGGGTTGACAGTCGAAGCCGATTGCTTCGGAACTGCTCCTTTCTTCATGGCATACACTTTATTTGCAACAACGTCATCATTTACCTGGGGGGTAGGAGGGGGATTTCCTGTCCTTACCGGATCAGCCGAGACTACTGCTGCAGTGCGCAATGCGCTGGCTACCTGGTTCGTCAAACCCACTGCATCGCACGTCGCGACCGCTGCAGCATTCGGTGCACTCGCAGCGACAATGGGGCTGTTGATAGGAGCAACTGCAGTTGTGTTGACTATTGGGTCGGCTATGCCAGACGAGGTCCTCGCTGACGAATAAATCGCGCTCGCTCCGTCTTCCCGACGATCAGTGAGCGTAGTTCTAGCGAGGTCGCCTTTGGCCGATCCAGACTTCGATCCCTTGCCAGACATCGTAAAGTTTGCCACAAAAGAATTTGTAAGATGTTGGGCGGTAAAAACGAATCTTTTGAATCCGTGAATTTTATTCCGGCAGATTGATCGAAATGGAAAAAATTACAAATTCCTGAGAACATTGGACAATGTTATGTTTCGTGCACAAATATAAATATTGCATTACACTTACTTTTGGTGATTCGTTCCGCAGTAATTAGTTTGCATAGAGCAAGATATTATGGTTATAAGTTAAGGTTTTCTTCAGCTGTAGGTAGCTATTAGATGTATATATAGATATGTTTAGTTATAAGTTCACTAATTTTCCAGCTAGTTCTCACCTTAGATAAGTTCAAAGTATTATAAGTTAATCAAGATACTGTAGTCTAGTTCAATCGACACGTTAGATAGTGATAGTATTTAAGTTTAACAGTATAAATTAGGTAGATTAAGGTAACACCACTTGCGAGTAGAATTAATTTTACTTTTTACTTCCTCGATTCAGCTATTGTTCTGGCTTGTTTACATATTTTACCCGTCGACCGCTTGACTTTCATACGATCGACGATCCTCTGACCAACACACGGGTGTGGTCGCGTTGAGGTGTATGCGTCCGTCACAGTGGTAGCGGTGGGGCTGCTGGGGCTCGTCGGGCCATTGGACGTGGCGGGATTAACATAGATATTTCTGTTTAGATTTCCAAGACAATGGTTGAATTATGCCGAGATGGACTCCATGGACATTATTAGCAATATTTGAAGTACAAATTTTCTAATGGTAACGTTTAAAGAGAATGATTTAAATAAATTTAACGGAAACCTTGCGAGAATTATTAAGAATACTAAGATAATTGTAAATTAAATTCTAAGAATTTCCTAGAGGTGATCCCAAAAGTGGTGTAGAGATTATTTTGAAGGTTCTTAGGTACAAACATTTCAATGGTATACTAGAGAGAAGAATAACCATATTCAGGAGCTGCGATTGGAACTGTTGCCTACAGTGCTGGAGAGAAGGTGCGTTTGAGCTGTGATTGATTTGAACTCTGGAGCAGCAGCTTCATTCCGTCCTGCAGGATATGGGCTAACGATCAGTTACGAACGCTGACTGTGGAGGAATTTGAAGTCATGCTGGCAGCTAATGCAGGCAATCCGATGGAAGCAGATCAAGTTGATGCGAACGAAGAGTGAGAATCGAGAGAACGAAATCTGTCAAAAACGAAATGGTTCGACTGCACACCGTCCATGATAAGCAGCAGAACGTTCTGAAGAGAAACTTTGAAGAAGCTGGTGCCGTCAACAAAAAACAGAACCCGGGTAGTCAGTAAAAACCCATCACCCATCAGAGCAACTGCGATCTTCCCCCGAATCATGTTCATGGACATCAGCAGCACATGACCGTATACCGCTAGCTAATTAGGGCGCCATGTTTCGGGTTCACTACTATTAAGGTATCCGTGTGATCACCGGTCGAAGGTGATTCCTATCGTGGAGTATATCTGCTCATTTAGTCTATTCTCATTTATTGATTTGTTTTAATTTATTGTATATTGATAGGTATGTAATACCTATACACATACAGGGTGCGTGACGAATTTTTGCAGTAAATGGCATATTTGAGACAAAATACACCAGTTAGTTATTCTAGCAATGAATTGTGTGTGATTTATTTTCTTTCGCAACATATGGAAGTTGTAAGTAAATTTATTCAAAAAAAATTGCCTTCCCTTTCGACGACTGTAGTTAGATGCTTCCGGAAACTGCAGTATGCACGTTTTAAAATGTTTCGATCCATAGATGTCATCACTGCCTTGATTTTAGCTTTTAGCGACTTAAGTGTGGTGTGAGGGGTTCTATTGGTATCCCGTTGGACGACGCCCTATACAAAATAATCCAACGGATTGATATCGGGACTGCTTGGGGGCCAAATTTCTTCCTCCCAAATTTACGAAATATTTTCCGTAAGCCATTTCTGTGCTTTATTAGCAGTATGAGCAGGTGCTCCGTCTTATCACTTTCCCAAGCCTTTTTTTTAATATTATACACTGTTCTTTCAGACACATTTACCGACCGAACTATTTCTTTCATGCATACTCCGGCGCGCAACAAAGTGACAACGGCTGACAGATTGCTCTCTTGTTTCGACATCTTTACGTTTACTCAACATTGTTTGTTTAAATCTTACACCTAACAGTATAAGCTATCCAGTGCTGCCAAATATATCTAAATCATGATGCACAAGCAAGAGAAATTACTATTTGAAATTTACTGCAAAAATTCGTCACGCACCCTGTACTATGTATATCAAGAAAAATAAATTATCGTTGGCGTATAGATTTTATCCTGCACTATTTTCCTGAACAGCACAATAAAAACAAATAAAGTAATCGATTAAATTATCAGTGCATAAATCAATTTTATACGATGTTATTATATTTTAATTTAATTAAATTTAATGTAATTTATACCGAGCTATGCGTCTGGCGGGAGAGTAGCTTTTATACAACTTTGATTTCAATATTTTTTGAGTGTACGATGGTCATTTACAGGTGATTTACGATGTTTGAAGCAAACCAGGCAGTTTGCTTCTCACTGGAGGTCGGAACAAGCCGTATTTTGAGCTATTTTACTTTCGAATGGTTATTGAATTCGGTGAGAATTGTAATTAAGTATTAATCAATGGTTTCTTTTTAATTTAATACGCATTTTTCACTTTATGGATTCGAACCGTTCTCATTCTGTCCCATATAGTGCAAACCAGACGAAACACGTAAAAGAAGAATCGAAGACTACCAAGACGGACATCATTTATCATTGTCCTGATACGGTTTGTTATATCCCAAATATAAAGATTTTGTACTGTTACTCTTGTTTGAATTATTCGACTTGATTTATAGCAAACCATTTTCCAAACCACATGTTTTAATAACCATGTTTTAACATACCATAATCATTAAGGATATCTCATAAAATGAATGAGAATATACTTTCATAATAAAATGAAAGGATTCCCTTTATTTTGACGATCTTTAAAATCGTCTTGCAAAAGAGCGTTGAAAATTTCAAATTAGAGAACTTCTTGATAAACACGTTCAACTTGAAGCTATGACACTACGAAATGGTGTCTGAATGCAGCTTCGATCAGCATAACATTTTTGGTTATCGACGTGCGGTCAATATCTGACTGAAAAAAAAATAACGATTGAATTCAAATTGAACGAGCAATAGATGGAATGATCCCGTCACTTCTTCCAGTAACATGGCAAACGGATTACGGTCAGTGAAATGTTCGAAAGTGCAAGCAAGATAAAAAGAATCATCAAACCACTCAATTCGTTTCCAACATCGCAGCCAAAATTGGCGAAACATTCCCTGCGTACTGTTGGGGTCTGCGTTCCAACACACGTGAGGAATATAAGGAATAAAGATGAGAAACAAACTAATTATAAAAGCTTTCAGGAAAAGGGCAGGTTCAAAATATTCACACAAAATTCTAGACAACATCAGATAAACAAACAAATTTGTCTAACAACGATGGTAACGGACTAGCACTAAATATTTCTTAAGTATTTTCAAGTATTTCTAGGTATCTTAGATATCATTTAGGTGTTTTTGTGTACAATGCAATAAATACAATGTTTAGAGTGGGGTGCCCCTAGGTTGGACGAGTTATCTGGAACTGATAGTCAGGCTACCAAAGAGCATGATAAAACTCAAGTTCATAACGAAATTATTGAAGAATTTATTGCTGGGCTCTTTGAAGAGGATAGTGATCTATCTCCGCCTGCT